AATTAAATATGCCCTAACCGAACAAACTACTACTTCTTACCCACTAATAAACTCGCACTAATCTACTAAATCTCCAAACAATTTCTAACTACAACTAACGGTCTAACTAAATAATAAATACATAATTAATCTAATTAATAAACTAACTAGAAATAATTATATTAATCTTTTAGAATATTTCGGCATCTCCAAGAAGTAGCCAAGGCTCCTAGAAGCTTCTCGACCCTTGCCCTCAAGTCACACCGACCATTCTTGCATCCCAAGTAGCTTGTGCGTGTTGTTGTTGGAATATGTATATATTGTGTATGTGAATGTTGAGTAAAGTGAGTAGTATAAAGATGATGGCTAGACTAAGATTTTATTGGAAGGAGGTAGAAACTTTTTATTTCTCATCAACTCATCAATTCACTTTACATCACACATGGGGTATTTATAGGCAAAGGTGGAAGCTTCTAGTCCACGCCATATAATTCACTTTTCCTAGATTTTTCTACACAAGTCTATTCTACACACTTCTGCACATGCCATAATATCTTTTCTTAGATTATTCTACATAAATGTAATCTACCACATTGAAGATAATTCTTCAAATACAATATTATAATTTATAAATCAAGTTTAATTTTCAACATCCCCTCTTAAACTTGATTTGTCATCCCGAGCAAACTCCTGAGCCTTGTAAAATCTTCATACTTGAAGGGCTTGGTAAAAATGTCAGCGATCTGGTCTTGTGATTTGACGTGCTCCACTTGAACTTCCTTTTTTGAAATGCATTCTCTGATGTAATGGAAGCGTGTGTCTATATGTTTGCTCCGATTGTGGATCACCAGATTATTTGCTTGTGCAATTGCCGACTTGTTGTCCACAAAAATTGTTGTTGCCTTCATTTGTGGCCACCCAAGCTCATTTAGCATGTTCCTTAGCCAGATTGCATGACAAACGGTGGATGTGGCGTCTACATATTCTGCTTCACATGTTGACAATGTGACTATCGGTTGCTTCTTCGACATCCACGTGAAGGCAGTATCTCCCATAAAGTATACAAAGCCACTTGTACTTTTCTGATCATCATTGTCTCCAGCCCAATCGCTATCACTATACCCAACCACTTCGAATTGGTTAGTATGTGAATAGAGTAGGCCATAGTTGAGCGTACCTCTCAGATATCGAAGAATTCTCTTGGCCGCCTTGAGATGTGTAGTGGTTGGATTTTCCATGTAGCGACTCACGACTCCGGTTGTGTAGAGAATATCAGGTCTTGTACATGTCAAGTATCTCAAACTACCAACCAAACTCTTGAAAAGTGTAGAGTCCACCGCTTCTCCTCCATCGTGCTTGGATAACTTGTTCCCGCACTCTGCTGGTGTGTTAATCGGCTTGCATTTTTCCATATTGAACTTCTTGAGGATCTCTTTGGCATATCCTTCTTGAGTGATAAATATTCCATCAAGTTGCTTGACTTTTATACCGAGGTAGTACGCCATGAGCACAATGTCGGTCATCTCGAACTCTTTAGTCATTACCTTCTTGAACTCTTCAAATATCCTTGGATTATTTCCTGTGAAGATAAGATCATCTACATATAAGCACAGAATTAAGATATCTTCACCTTTGATCTTGACATAGAGGGCATGCTCATGTGGGCATTTGATGAACCCATTTTCTTCCAAGTATTTATCGATCCTTTTGTTCCATGCCCTCGGTGCTTGCTTTAACCCATATAGGGCCTTTTTCAATTTTAGAACTTTATCTTCTTGGCCTTTCACCTCGTAGCCCAATGGTTGCTTGATATAGATTTCTTTGTCAAGATCTCCATTTAAGAAGGCCGATTTAACATCCATTTGATGAATCTTCCATCTATTGTGAGCTGCAAGAGAAATTATTAGTCTAATAGTTTCTAGTCGAGCAACAGGAGCAAATACCTCGTCATAGTCGATTCCTTCTCTTTGGTTGTAGCCTTTTGCGACGAGTCTTGTTTTGTATCTTTCAACTTCTCCACTTGAATTTCTTTTTATTTTATATATCCACTTGACTCCAATAGCTTTGTGGACTTTAGGGAGCGTTGCAAGCTCCCATGTATTATTCTTCTCGATGGCTTTGATTTCCTCATCCATCGCATTTTGCCACTTTTCATTCTTCTCAGTGTTCATTATATTTTTGGGCAAGTAATAACCGAGTTACCCGACTCGGGTCGTTCTCAAAGGAAAGATAGCCGGACTAAATAGTACATTTATTCAATTCACAAAAGAGAAAATAATCCTAAACATTCTAATTCGATTTTATTGATTTGGTTTTTAACTAAAACAATTTAAATATAACAACTTAGAAATTTAATACAATATGATTTAAACAAGCTAAATAATTAAAATAATTTCAATGAATATAAATAGCTAGGGTATCGGGGACAATCAACTCCAGTTGGATTAACTTTTACGGCAATCAATTTACTCGGTTAAGCGATTCAATTAATTAACTCTTTTAGATGTTTAAACTCACTAACTTTCGTAATATGCGAATAAACATAAAAACATAAATTATTGAAACGATCAACACATAAACAATACGCTTTCGAACATGTTTATTCTAAACAAGTCAAGTTCGATCAATTTCTCCCCTCTCGGTTTTGAAATCGATTATATAGATTAAAATGGTGATCAAACACTTAATCATAAAATGGATAAAACTTGTAAAGATTGAGATTATTGAAATGCTTATAAACGATAAGTAACCAAACCGATTATCCCCTTACCCTAGTTAGGGAATTAGTTGATCATGTTAATAGAACCAAACAAATATTCTTGTAAATAACTCAACATTAATGAAAACGAAAATAGAACTTACTATTAATGAACAATCCGCAGAGCAAATTCAAACTTAATATCTTCAACACACTTCAATAATACAAACTTAAACTACAATTTAACACAATAAAAGATAGTGAAGAAACAAGTAGAAGAAGAAGAAGATGATGATGATCCTTTTAGCTAGAAAGTGATCCCTTTTTATAGCCAAAGTAATCACCCTTTTAGTTGAAGTTTGATGAGAAAATAGCTGGAAATGACTCATTACATGATGTTCCACGCCATTGCAAAAGTCCAATCTACCACCAATTCAACACAAGTTTCAGAAATAGGTAAGAAAACAAGTCTGTTGTCTGCCAGTAGGGTTAGCGACGCTAACCTACCTTAGCGGCGCTAAGGAAGGTTAGCGGCGCTAACCAACCTTAGCGGCGCTAAGGCCCGCTGGAACATAAACAAATTACACTTTACTCCTTCAACTTATCAACTAGTAGAATTCTCGACTTCCATGTACTAGGTAGAATGAAACACATAAGTCTTCTCGGGATCGGATGAAGGACATCAACTAAGCGACTACAATCTGCAATCGAACTATACGAAAAACACAGAAAAATAAGACTAAAAATAACAAAAATACCAAACACACTTAAATATCACAAAAACACACAAAACGAATAAATGGACCGGAAAACACTAAGAAACAACCTAAAACGGGAGAAACAATCGACAAAATATTAATAAAAGTAATAACAAAAATGAAACAAACAACTCTCCCACACTAAGACCTTTTTTCGTCCCGAACAAAAAGAAAAAGAAAGAAATGAAAAGAACACATCCAAATGAGCAAGCACCATAGTTTCAAACAAAACTAATCTGAAACTAATCAATCAAATCAAAAAGAATTCAAATGATCATAAGAACATACCTCGACTAAAACTTGGTTATTTTGATAAACATAAACTCTCAAGTACTAAAGTGCATCATATATGTGCCCCATTAAATTTCTTTTCACAAATATCAACGGTTACGCTCAAATTGGTCAATGATCGAGTCAAATATGGATTTGCCCATCGTCTAACTTTTACTCTAAAACAATCAAATTGTATGCAATAGAGAATTAAGAGGATTTTTAAAGGTTGTAATGTAGGCTCTTTGGATCGGGTAGGATAAATATAGGCTAAGTGGCTAAATAATCACTCAAATCATTAACGAAACCATAATCATGGACTCTTCCGGTTGTTACAACCCAACCGTTTCCTTCCAAATCCTAACAACCAATAAACCATTACAACCAATAAACCAATAAGCGCCTAAATAAAAATCAACTCAAAATATTCACACATATTTTTTTTATATTATTTTTATATATATATTTTTTATATGTAAATGACGACCTTAGGATATTTATTTTCCTTTGGTATCATCATCATTTTTTTTAACGATATATACAACTCCGAACAATACCGACATTAATCACCTCCAATTTTATACAATATATACCAATCGCTCTCCAAAATATCATCACGAGGTTATTAGTAAAGAAAGAATCAATAAGTCTCAGAGGGGATTACTAGCGAATTTATTTACATAAAAGAAAAGGGAAAATACAAAGAATGCCTCAATCATATTCATATTGCCCAAATTCGACTTATTTATTTTAAAGAAGACTCAAGGAAAATCCTAATTGACGACAATTTCAACCAATATCCCACAAAAAAAAAAAAACTAACATGGCTCAAATCTCAGACGGTCAAATAATTGTCCCTCAAAACAACCAAGTATTTCATCAAGATATATCACTTATTCACATAATCGGAACTTCTTAACTTAATCAATCATTATCGACTAATCTTTGCAATTCACCAAAGTCCAAACTAATAAATATATCACAAAATCGTAAATCGGTCCACCAAGCAAGAGAAAAACAATAAAAAAAATCCTAAGCAAACTAAACGAGGTCAACCATATAGCGCAAAAATATGCAAAAACCCCCCACACTTAGCATTGGACAATGTCCTCATTGTCAATTTAAAGTTCAAAAGAGTTAACCACATAATCAACCCACTCAAAAATAAAATGAACTGAACAAAACAATAAAGAGAGAGGAAAAGAAATACGTACAAAGCACAGTGACAAATCACTGTGCGTCCGAAGATGGCGGCTGACAAGGTGGTGGCGGAGAAAGGTCACGGCTCTCTGTACTCCAGCGGGTATCCCACTGGCTAAAACGAGAGTCCCAGGTGCTCCACTGTTGATACTGCCACTCCGCCCACGTATCCCATCGGTTGTCATGGGCCGTCCTATGTTCTGCATTAATCTGTACGAACTTGTTCCACTGTCTGGTTTGCTCCGCCCAACGCCTGTCGTTAGACTCCACGAACGAAACCCAACGTGCATCATTCCGGGCCTCATACGCAGAGAACCAAGCCGGAGCTGCCGACTGGGAAAATGCACCGTGTGCGCGTCCATCGACGGGAGAGGCAGAATAGTGTGCTGAGCGGGGTGCTCTCCGGCCTCCGTAGCCGTCCCATCGTCATCATGAGAGTCCGCAGGAGCTGGACCAGATGATGTACCTGCAGTCGGCTGGGACTGGTCGTCCGGCACGGGTAGACCCATCTCCCTCAAATAAACCTTGTAACACTCTCTCTGAGTGACCAGGCGCGGAGTGTTATCGTCTATGAGGAAGTCGGCTCGAAAAAGGTCCTTTTGGGAAATCCAAATAGGGAGGAGTTTGGGTTCGTCGGTCTGGACCCGGAAGTGCTCGGCTAGCTTAGTCACCACATGACCCAAGTTCGGACCACGTCTCGAATCGTTGCATACATCAAAGAGAGATTCCTTCAAGTACTGCAACATACTAACTGGCTTGTCGTGCGAAACCGACCACAAAATAAATACTTGTTGCGCACTTACCCTATTGGATTCCTTCTTGCCAAAGATCATATGGGAAATGTATTTGTGGACCACCACATGGGCTAAATCGGTGATTAACCCCGAAGACGGCCCAGATGCCTTGTACTTCTCGCATGGTGAGAGAGTAGCCCAATGTGGGTCAACTCGAAAACCTTGAGGGCTATGACGTGTAGGAATGTCGGTGTTGAATTTGTAAGTTTCACACAACACTTGGTCGGTAATTTTGTATTCCGTGCCCTTCATTCGAGCAGTGAGGTATTTGCCATTTTCGTGACGGGCTACCGTGCTAAAAAACTCAAGCGTCAAATGCCGGTAAGCATGTACCGGCGTATCCTCAAATTCCTCGAGGTCGAGCAATTTTATGTAGCGAAAAATATCATCACCGATCCCAAGCTCATCGTTAAAATAGTCCCAATCGATTACACGCGGCAAGGCAAGAGGCTTGGAAGCGAGGCGTTGATAGGACTTAACCTCGTCCATGGAGATGAACTCGAATGGAATGCCGTGTTCTTGTACCAATGTCGGGGCTGCGTTGGGATTAGCTCTTATGGAAGCCGCATTGGTTTTTCTCTTCGATCGGGTGCCTCGTCCAACCATTGTTTTTCGTTCGGATATTTGATCGAACACTTGGCGTGCGGTTTAGAACTTAAGAACGGTTTGAACAATTGGAGCGGTTCTTTCCTGGAGTAGGCCTCCTCACGCCACAACAATCACCAATTAGTAGGGAAGTTAAGCGAGTAATACCTTTTGGAGCCGGAATTCGATCAGAATATAGCAATTGGCGAGCTAGGTCGTAGGTCTCTTGATGGCCAAGAAGATGTGGAAATAGAGGGTCACGTTCGGCTGTGGACTAGGAAGGTGAGTGTACGGTTGTTGATGTTTGTCGGAACAACTCGGTGGTCGAAACAATTTGATGGTGTTCGCCGGAGAAATTGTTGTGGTGGTGTCCTCTCGAATGATAGAGATGGAGAGATAGTTGTGATTGAATATTTGGAGGTGATATGGTTAGAGAGAGACGTCTGATGTCGGAGGTTTGAAGTTGTTGTTGGAGAATCGCCGTCGGAGATGATGGTGGTCGGATGTGAGTGGAAGTGAGAAAAGCCGCCGGGAGTGGGAGAGATTTTGTTTGGGGAAGAAATGAGCAAGAACCTCGATTTTTTTTTATGATATCTGGGTGGTTAGCGGCACTAACATGCCTTAGCGCCGCTAAGGAGCTGGTGTTAGCGGCGCTAACAAGGCTTAGCAGCGTTAAGGTCGAATAATGGCCTTTATCCCGTGTAGTTCAAACTCTCTGTTTTGCTTAGCGGCCGCTAACATTTCCGCCTTAGCGGCGCTAAGCCCGGTTAGCGGCGCTAACTGATATATATATATATATTTTTATATTTATTTATTTTTTTTTATATATATACAAATATGTACAAGTGGCTCAATTTATTGCCGGGAGCTCGGCACTTCTCTCGATCAAGTATAGTGTGGCTCGTTGAGATCTACGGTCTCAACGTGTTTTTTCTCGATTTCTCCTCCGATGTAAGGCTTGACCCTTTGCCCGTTGACAACGAATAATTCACTAGTAGACGGGTTCCGAACTCAAATTGCCCCGAAAGATAAAACTTCATCAACAATAAACGGGCCACTCCACCGGGACTTTAGTTTTCTCGAAAAAAGACGAAGTCGGGAATTAAAGAGGAGAACTTGCATGCCCGGCACTAACTCCTTCCGGACGATATGAGCGTCGTGGAGTCGTTTGACCTTATCCTTGTAAATCTTCGAGTTTTCATACACCTCGTTCCGTAATTCCTCTAGTTCTGATAGTTGCAATAGTCGTTCTATTCCGGCAGAATCAAGGTCAAAATTCATCTTCTTAATTGCCCAAAATGCTTTATGTTCGATCTCAACCGGTAGATGGCAAGCCTTCCCGTAGACGAGCCGGAAAGGGCTCATCCACAACACTCTTTTATATGCGGTTCGTTGTGCCCATAATGCGTCGTCTAATCGTCGGGACCAATCTTTTCGGGACGAGTTCACTGTCTTCTCAAGGATAGTCTTAATTTGCTTTTTGCTCGTCTCCGCTTGCCCTGACATCTGTGGATGGTAAGGGGTCGCCACCTTGTGTTATATGGCGTATTTCTTGATCAACTTCTCGAATAAGCGGTTGCAAAAATGTTTGCCTCCATCACTCACAATGGCCCGAGGGAAACCGAACCTGCTCAAAATATTACCTTGCAAGAACTTGATAACTATGTTAGCGTCGCATGTCCTTATGGGGATAGCCTCGACCCACTTAGACACATAATCAACCGCAAGTAAGATATACTCGAAACCCAAGGATTTAGAAAATGGTCCCATAAAATCGATCCCCCAAACATAAAAAATTTCAACTTGTAGATTATTAACAAGAGGCATTTCATTTCGGGAACCAATATTCCCAACCCTTTGACAACGGTCGCAAGCTTTACAAAAATTATGAGTGTCGCGGAAAATAGTAGGCCAAAACAAACCTGATTGGAGGACCTTAAAGGCAGTCTTTCGGCCTCCAAAATGACCTCCGCAATGAAGCTCGTGGCAAAAGGCAAGAACATCTGCTTGCTCCTCCTCGGGCACACATCTCCGTAGAACCTCGTCTTTCCCAATCTTGTAAAGAAATGGTTCGTCCCAAAAAAAGTTCCTGCACATTGAAACAAATCGTTTCCTCTCTTGGGAAGAGAGGTTAGCCAACAAAACACCATTGGATAAATAATTAACTATATCCGCATACCAAGGATGACTCGAAACTTCACTCAATTGCTCATATGGAAAATTGTCATTAATGCTTACATGCTCATGCAATGTGAAGGAAGAATCGGCAAGAATAATACGAGACAAATGATCCGCCAAAACATTTTCACACCCTTTTCTATCACGAATTTCGACGTCAAATTCTTGTAAAAGTAAAATCCACCGAATAAGTCTCGGTTTCGATTGAGTTTTACTCAAAAGATACCTTAGTGCCGCATGATCGGAATGCACAATTACTTTAGATCCCAAAATGTAAGATCTAAATTTTTCAAGAGAGAAAACTACGGCAAGGAGCTCTTTTTCGTAGTAGTATAATTCAATTGAGCACCGTTCAAGGTCAAGCTAGCATAATAAATCACGCGAAGTAATTTATCAACTTGTTGACCCAAGACGGCTCCAATCGCAAGATTTGACGCATCACACATAATTTCAAAAGGTAAAGACCAATCAGGAGCAATGACAATAGGCGCAGTCATAAGCTTATTTTTCAATTTATTAAAAGCATCTAAACATGCATCATCAAACACAAATGGCACATCATTAGCAAGCAAGTGACATAATGGTTGGCTTATTTTCAAAAAATCTTTGATAAATCGCCTATAGAAACCTGCATGACCTAGAAAACTTCTAACACCTATTACATTTACAGGAGGGGGAAGTTTTTCAATCACGTCGACCTTGGCCTTATTGACTTCAATCCCTCGATTAGAAACAACGTGTCCTAAAACAACTCCACTTTTAACCATAAAGTGACTCTTTACCCAACTCAAGGTCAAGTTAGACTCAATGCAACGCTCAAGAACTCGAGATAAATTACGGAGACAATGAGAGAAAGAATCACCGAAGGTAGAAAAATCATCCATAAATACATGTAGGAAGTCCTCGAGCATATCGGAGAAGATAGAGAACATGCACCTTTGGAAGGTTCCGGGTGCATTGCATAGTCCAAAGGGCATCCGTCTGAATGCAAAGGTGCCGAATGGGCACGTGAAGGTGGTCTTGGGCTGGTCCTCGGGAGCAATAGCTACTTGGTAGTAACCGGAAAGGCCGTCTAGAAAGCAATAGTATTGATGTCCCGAGAGGCGGTCAAGGATTTGATCGATGAATGGGTCAAAATGGTAGCGGGAAATGATCCTTTTTCATCACGGCATTGAGTCGCCGATATTCAATACACATTCGTCACCCCGTTGTAATGCGGGTAGGTATCATTTCCTTTTTCTCGTTCTCGATAACAGTGATGCCGCCTTTCTTTGGTACTACGTGGACAGGGCTCACCCATTCGCTATCAGCTACCGGAAAAATAAGCCCCTCAGAGTAGAGCTTTAGAACTTCCTTCTTTACTACTTCCATCATGTTTGGATTTAGCCATCGTTGGCTATCTCAGAATGGCTTAGCACCGTCTTCTAGGATGATACGGTGCGTACATGTGGAGGGGATGATGCCTTTAAGATCTCTAAGGCTCCACTCGATGGCTTTTTTATTCTTTCGAAGCACCTCAAGTAATTCTTGCTCTTCGTCCTTAGTAAGCTCGGTGGAAATGATTACTATTTTTTCTCTTCGTCGTCGAGGAACACGTACTTGAGGTGGCGGGGTAATTCTTTAAGCTCAAAGCCTGATTGTGTGTTGGGCTGGTTAGTTTCGCATAGATCGACGATCGGTTCTTTGTCATCGTCGAAGTCGGGTATGTTTCTCATCTACCATTCTCGTTGGGCTATTTCTTCAGTGAACGGATCGATTGTATCAACAAAAGCACATTCTTCTACAAAATTCACTGAGGATGCGGATGTGGCGTCTCGGACGGAAATAGATACAGACTTGCCCAAAACTGTCATGTTGAGCGTCCCGTTTTTCACGTCAATAAGAGTGTCGGTAGTGGCCATGAATGGTCTACCAAGAAGAATTGTGTGACCCTTCCCGTTCTCGTGCACTTCGCCCACATCAAGAATAACAAAATCCACGGGGACAATAAGCTTCCCCACACGTACAAGTACGTCTTCTACCACCCCCTTTGGATATCGTATCGAACGGTCGGCAAGTTGGAGGCACATTTGGGTTGGTCGCAAGTCTCCGAGACCGAGCCGTTGAATTATCGAGAATGGCATAAGGTTGATTCCGGCTCCGAGGTCGAGCATCCCCGACGCTTCTTTTCCATTCCCGAG